AAGAGTGACGCACTAAGGTGTGAAGAGGCATCATCAGCAACCTAAGCGCATAAGCGACACGTGTTATGGTTGAAAATACTTGCATCGGCATTTCTTAGCGTACACAGGTGAAGACTCCGTGCGTCATCCGTCTGGTGTATGCGGGTGTGTGGAGGTTTTCAGAGGTTTTAAGAGGTTTTCACAATTGTACAGAGCGATATACATGTACAGACAACCCTCTGAAACACGAATTTTGAATAATGAAATCCAGTGATCCGGCCGAGTGATTCATGGTGGTGACAAAGAGAGAAACCAAGCAAAACCGAGGGAAGGGTGAAATGAAAACTCCTCCACACACACACCTGACACACACACACACCTGGCGCACACCCACCCGACATATGCCATCGCAGTGTGGGGGCAATGCTGACGCTCGTACAGTGATGGCTGACGTGTCGGGCCCCGCCTCTGACCAGGACGGAGATGTGTGTGGTCGGGGATTCGGGGGGGGCTGTGACAAAAGGTTGAAGCCTTCGCTTAGAGCACACACATTTGGCGCTCGAAATTTTCCATTTCGTGCTTCGCCACCATCGTGAAGCACAAATCGAGAGCATCGCGATTCCGTTGTAGTGCCTTGAGCCGTATATCTACACTCACCTGAACATTTACCGTGTGATTCAATGCCGAACATAAAGTGTCCCTACCTAGGTATTCTTCAATAAGGTGTTCTACAACCGAAGTCGTGAACTAGCAAAACGAGGGAACTGGAAACTGAATAAGATGTACCTGGGATGTACATATAGTTAAATAACTGACATACCATACAAATATTCTAAATTACTAGGATATCTACCACGGTGTATCAATCTTCAAGAAAGGCCTGACATGCGTAACTGCAAACGATACGAACGACCTACCAGGCATCTCAAAACGTATAGGAAGACCCCCATTGTCAACCTGTGCAAAGTCTTCAGAATACGACGTTCTCCACGATAGCACCTTCGACTTGCCTCCTACATTCTTTTGAAACCACCAACTAATGCCAACACTTACCGTCCTCGGTGTCGCCTTCTGGTTCACCACAAACACGCTTATCATCCTCTTCTTCGGGGTGTAGAAAGCCGAAATCCCGAAATTACACCTCCCCTTGCTGAGGATCAGCTTCCGGCTGCCTCTAGGAGCAAGGCTCGTAAAATGCTTCAATATCCAAAACTTTTTGGAGACCGTAGGCGGAGTGTACACTGTAGACGCATCCGGAGTCTTCGACCAATCAATATTGATCAGCCCCCAAGTTGAAGAAGGGTCCATCGCTTGCCAGTACACCCATCCGGAAGCTTCTAAAATGTTTATCGACGCAATGATCGATCGCGCCATGTACAGTGCCACATCCATGTCATCCCCATCCCGACTCAAAGGCCCCCATTCCGAAACCCAAACCGGTTTCGTTGTCGCCTTCGCCGCCACTTTCATGTCGCGAAAGTTTTGGGCCGTCCACTGGACGGGATCCGCCCCGTTTTTCGCCAAGCTCATGTAACCGTGCACGTTGTAACGGTATATAAACCCGTTCAGATTCCCGACGTTTTCCGGAGTCCTCTCGACAAAGCTATCCACAGAAGCAAGCTTCGTTTTAAGCTTCTTCCTTTGCAGAGCAGCCTGAGTCTTCTGTAGAACGCGCCTCATTTGGTCTACACCAATGTTGCACCCCTCCTGTCCTCCCCCCTTCTTCCACCATCCCTCCAACGCTTCGTTAAACGGCTCCAAAGTCTGAAACACCAGTCCCTTTCCCCAACTTTTATCCGTCGCGAATTTCCGCACCACGTCAGTGAGAAATTCCGCAAACGCTGTTTCGTATTCCGTCTTTAAATTACCCTGCCCGTATGTGGCTGCCCCGGCAACATCCCCAGAAACCGTCATCCACCATGGGGGGCTGTTGGAAAAGGCTTCAAACGTGTCTGCCCCCCGTGCTCGGGCAGCGAACAAAACTTTCCGCTGCCTGTCGTCTGCTGCCCAGTTATAGCCCGAATTCTCCGTAGCCTTAAAGCCCGGCATGCCCCGCCATTTAAGTCCATCGGTTTGAAACTGGGGGCTGTTAGTGGCGTTATAGCCGCCTCCTATGTTGTAGCGAACTATGTTGAGGTTTAGACCCGAGGGGGAGAATAGGAGGTCCATTAAAGGGTTGAAATGGTTGTCTGGGAAGCCTCCCACGAAGTTTCCTAGCCTGGGAGGGAGGGAAAGTGGGATGGGGTGGGAAACAGGGGTGGATCGGTGCGATATTGTTGAGAAGTGAGATCGGTGCTATGGTCATCAAGCAGTGAAATTGATGGTTTGAGGGATTGAGAAGTGAGAATGGAGCACTGACAGATAATATGCGAACGGAAGGTCAGAAGCAGTGGGGAGCGGCTTACCAGCAGAGGGACGTGCCCCAGCCCTGCCACTTGTTCCGCCACCGCGGGTTCAGAGTCACTGACGCGGGGCCTGGGGTAGGGGTGGGGGGAGAGTGGGGGAAGAGTGGGAGGAGAGTGCGGAGAAGTCGGGAAGAGAGGGGCGGGCATAACAGCAGACGGAGGTGCCACAGCCCTGCCACTTGTTCCGCCACCGCGGGTTCAGAGTCACTGACGCGGGGCCTGGCGGAGGGGGGAAGGGTTGGAGGAGAGTGGGGTAAAGTTCGGGAAGAGGAGGGCGGGCATTCCAGCAGACGGAAGTGCCACAGCCCTGCCACTTGTTCCGCCACCGCGGGTTTAGAGTCACTGACGCGGGGCCTGGGAGAGAGAAGAGTGTGGGGGGAGGGTGGGGGAAGGGTGCGAGGAATGTTGGGGGAGGGTGGGGGGAAGAGCAGAGGGGGAAACACTCAGACTACTCTGACGCGGAGCTTGCGAGCGCGGAAGGGATAAGAGAGGTAGAGGTAGGGGGAGTGGGGGAGAGCAGAGACATATTTACGCACACCGGGAGGAGGGAGGGGGAGAGGTGGGGGGAGGGGGTTAGACGGAGGCACGAGGCAGGAAGCAAGAAACAATCAAGCCACTTTGCTCTGGCACCGCGGGTTCAGCGGGGAGCCTGGGACGACGAAGAAGAGGTGAAAAAGAGGCGAGGGAGACGAGAGAGGGGAGAGAGGGGATAGAGGCTACAAGGCAAAGCAGACCGGAGCACGCAAATTGGACCACAAGGGCGAGAGTCTTTGGAGCTGAAAAAGAAGTGTAGTACCGTACCTTGTCCGGTGCATATATCGAAGAGCTCAGTAGCGGGAGTCAGGTTCGGTGTGGAACCCGCTAGAGGCCGGCTCGAGCCGTTGCCGCTAGATGCGACTCGCACGCTGGCGAGCGGCGTGGTCTGCGACGCGGTGTGCGACGACACTTGCGACGCGGCTGTTCGCGAAGGCTTTTCGTTACAAGGGAACGGCACGGGGTGCGGCGACAAATCTTGGCGAAAACAGATGGGGGGTCCAACGGGATCCCCTGATGTTCCTGAAACGACCGGTAGTGTAATATTAACGGAGTAGTCTATACCGGGAATATCTGGAACTATCTCGTCATCGGGAGACGGGGCTGGGGCGTTTGCGGGGACTTCAGCAGCGGAAGACGCTGCGGAGAAGACGGAGAGCAGGAGGAAAATAAGATAGAGTCTGCGAGAGAGTGAGCGGAGGTGCCGGGGCGCCATCGTGGCGCAACGCTGCTACTAGCAGACTGCTATCTATAAACGCCTAGTCGAACATGTTGGAAGAACTTTGACAATTATTTGGATAATGCCTATGGCGCAACGCTGTTAGACCGTCCAGCTTCAGTGACGAACGCTGTTTGCTCCCTCTTCCACGATCAGTGACGAATTCTGTCAGTGATGGACTCCGTCAGACATGTCAACTATCAGTCGCCTAAACCGTCCGTCATCCAATCCGCCCGTCACCAACCTGAAGCTGGCGCGTACTTTGAAATAATCGAGGCCGTGAGTTTATGAACTTATACGTATATCTACTTTCTTGTCTGCATATTAAATACTTGGTAAGCAACGACGTTGAAGAGATTAATTGCTTCTGTGCTCACTAGCAAGCGACCGCTTCTAAGAAGCACGTGAAGAAGCAACTATGAAGCATTTATAAATACAGCACCTATGATGAGGCGGGACCAAGAAAGTGGGTGGCCATGACTGCAGCACATATTTAGAAAGGACGGAAGGTACAATAGGGTCAACATGACGGCGAGGCGCTATCAATGAATCGAGGCGTGTGTCCTGGAATGGAGGAAGAAATGTGGGAAACCAAAATGGTACGGCGCTGAGAGGGGGTTGATTTGGCACGGCAGCCATGAATCCGTGGAGTGCGCTCAGTGGAGTTTACTTGAAAATGGCGACCTGTCAAAAGGGAGAAGAGAATTTGACTGCCTGATCACACTGGCCTGTAAGCGCACAGCTAAGTGATGCCGAACCGTGAATTTCATGCCTTGTGCCCGAGTTTCGAGAAGTCGAAGGCGAAAGACCTCTGTACGCCTCCATAAGTTTTGCACAAGTTTTAAGACTAGAAATTGAACTGTATGGATCGTGGAATGTTTCACATGTCTGGAACGCAACCCAGAGGTAGCGACAAGCAGGCATGGTTCGCAACGGCTAGTTCCGCAAGTTTAGGCCGTCGGGCAGAAGTGCCAACCTGTAAAAGCGAAAAAGCCGTCGATTGTCAATATCGTCACAGATCGAACGCTTGAATCAAGTTTAGGGCTGCTGGAAACTCTGTGCTTTTGTTTGAAACGGGGGAACCGACATGCCAAGCCAAAGAAATTTGTCGGTGAAAACCTCACTCACCGGACCGTGAAACGTGACGAACTCGATATAGCTGGTTCACTTAGTCAATACAGTTTCTTACGAGTTCCGATCAGTAAATGTCAACTAGTGAATACTGATAAAACAAATATACTCACATTCTTCATACACTTTCACAGATTGAGAAGACGTAATTTCCATAGGGGGATCTTTGTTTGATAAGTAAATCAAAGACACTAGATAATCTGTACATAAAGTCGAATATCCACGGACATTCGTTACACAAGCTTCACCTCCCTGTTGAAAACCCAGCTGAACTTGCCAGTCTGTGGGCCGCCCTTCTTCACCTTATCCGCCGCCCGCTCCGCCAACCTCCTGATCCTGGGCGGCAGCTTGCAGACGAACTCCTGCGCACGTGCCGCTTCCGGAGACAGTCCCTCCATCTTCTCTACATCCCACACCGCTATAAGGTGCTCCATTATATCAGCGTAGTCTCCGGCAGTGTACACCCCCGTGCGCTGTGCTACAGCGGAGAAATCGTCGAAAAGTTCTGGGTTCTCCCCATCGTACATGAGGTGAGCTGGCATGACGATCTGAAAAAAAAAAAAAGGATCGAGGCGGAGTGAAAGGGGGAGGCGGACACACAAAGAAAGCAAAAACAGAACAGCATACAAGTCAACGAGTTAATGTGAGCTTGCATGAAGAAAATGTAGTGGTAGTCGATGCACAAGGGAAAGAAGGGTAATCGGAGCAGATGGGAGAGAAGGGAAGTGGCAGCAGATGTGAGAGAAGGGAAATGGGAGCATACGGGAGGGAAGGGAAATGGGCACATACGGGAGAGAAGGGAATTAGGCGCACATGGGAGGTAAGGGAAGTGGGAGCATATGGGAGAGAAGGAAAATGGGAGCATATGGGAAAGGAGGGAAATGGCACATACGGGAGAGAAGGGGAATGGGCACATATGGGAGCGAAGGGAAATGGGAGCATATGGGAGAGAAGGGAAACCGGAGCATATGGGAAAGAAGGGATATGGGAGCATATGGGAGAGCAGGGAAACGCATAAGGGAAAGAAGGGAAATGGGAGCTTATGGGAGAGAAGGGACAAGGAAGCATATGTTGATTTGGCATGACTTTTGAAGTGCACCTGTTTCCTCATCATGTCTTCAAACGCCAGCATCGCCCCGGACGGATCGAGCTCATACAACCGTGACACGATCGCACAGTACGCCTTCTCGTGCCTCTTCTCATCCGCGGCTATCATGCCACATATCACGGCCAGCCGGTCATCTCCAAACTCCTTGGCGTGGCGCGCCGTGTTGCCGTGGGAAATGAAGGTCGCCCGCTCCTGGAAGGACGTGTAGACGAAGCCAAGGTACGGGTTGTTCTCCGTCTTGGGGTCCTGTTATGGGATTGAACGCACAAGGCAGTAGGAAATGGGAGATGGGAGTTGAAGGTTGCTCGCTCCTGGAATGATGTGTGTAGAAAGCTTCATAGTAGAAGAGCAGCAAATCCGAAATTTAACCAACAATTAAAAGTAATTAGAGAAACGAAACTGGACTTTTCTTCCTGGGAAGGACTTTTCTTCCTGAAACGAAATAATTTCAATCAAAGCATAACTTCGAAATGTGCTTGTAAGGCTCCGCTTTAGATAAAGGTTTTTTTTTTTTTTTTTTTTTTTTTTTTTTTTTTTTTTTTCTGAGTTCTACTAATCATAAAAAAAAAAAAAAACAGTTTCGTTCCTCTAGTTGCTTCAAGAGTTTTCTAAACTTCGGATTCGCTGCTCTTACACATATCCACACTCTCCACCCCATTTCCTCGCCCTCACTCGTAACTCACCATCCCCGAGCCAATCAGGTCTAAGTTGGTCATTTACGTTTACGTGTACGTCCTTTACGTTTACGTTTACGTACGTTTACGCAGGTGACAGATTTTGCTAAAATGTACGGGCAGCCAAAAAGTTTTTTTGGGCTGGCCGAAGGCGTCAGAATTTACTTATCACCCTATGTGATTGGTAAATTCCAATATGTAATGTACATATTGTTAACAGCTATAGCCGATGCGGAAGCGTTTAACAAGTCACTACAAGCTGAAGCTTAGCAACACTTAACTTCCCTTAAGGCCCTCCGGAGTGACAACTTGTCACCTCCTAGCCAAGGGCCAAAAAAAAAACATATAAGGGAGTAGTTATGCTTAGCTTGCTTGCAGGGTGAGAGATCTGGTCGAGCAGCGTTTCGGCAGCACCATGTGAGCGTTTCTACTCTCGTTAATACGTAGTAGTAGAATTCCAGAGTCAAAGGATAACAACATTGATTCAAGCAAGTACAAGCATGCATTTTATATTAACTCCTAAGCACACAGAAGGAAGGCACACAAAACAGTTATTTAACTGTCGTCCAAGTCTTCGCCTTGTTGTCCTTGAAAAACGGTTGTAAAACTGCTCTTGAAAATAACTGTATTCAAGCTGCACTCCTGCCAAATTCCTCTACTGGCTCCTTTCGCGAACATTCATGAGTTCCCATGTGCGATCATGAACACTCGTGTGGGAATACCGTTTTTCGTGAGGCCTTACAGTTACATGGCAGTTTCTCACCGTTTTTCATGAGTGCTTACAGTTAGAAAACGGGTTTTCACCGTTTTCTCCTGTATCGAAAATGTCCCATTACGCGCGCGACATTTCGAGGGAAGTTGCTTGTACGCCGAGTCAACGCGGGATTCGGTTATTTCAACCGAAATCCCGAGCACCCCTTGACCACAATCATGCATGACCGATATTTTGGTCGTGCGGTACTGTGCACTGACGTGCGCAGTACTGCGCGTGGGCAGGGCGATCATTCGCCCTGTCCTGTTGCGATCGTGCCCACAGTGCACGCTCGCAACAGTGCGAGGCACGCGCGTGGGCCTGCGGACCCACATGCACGATCAGGACCCCACGCGCGGGTCCTGACTTTTCCGCGCAGTTGACCTTGACTGACGCGATAAAAATCCAAGAGTCAAGATTGACCCCTCGTGAACACTCACGACTCTTCATGAGTCTCGCTTCCTGAATACTCGTGAAACATTCGTGAACCTTCATAATGCTCGCTCACCATGAACGCTAAATGAACACTCATGTAATTTCACGACGCTTCGTCGTGAGCTTTCATGAATGAATATGAACTCGCCATGAATGTGAATGAAGTGAAGTGTGAAAATGAATGTGTGTGAAGTGCTCATGTGATGTTAAATGATATGCAGGCGGCTGTTTGACGTGCAAAAGCAATATTTGCACCCAACACATATTACATATGACAAAGATGACCAAAATTGAGGTGTAGCTCGGCTGGTGGCACAACAATTCCGAGAGCGGGTGAGACTTGCGGTGCCTTGTTGGCGAATCACTCGCAATCCTGTCAAACTGTTCGCAATTTGTTTTCGCGCACACATTGACGGGATTCACATTCCCTTCACTCGCTCCACCACAACCCCGCCCTATCGACCTTCGCTGCCGCACTTGTTTACTGACCTAATTAGTACCGTAGTTAACTTAGTACCTAGCTAGGTGCCTAGTATATTCTACATCGACACCTTAGTAACTCTTCAATATTGAATAAGCCGATTCACGTCGCGCCCTTTCCCTAAGATACAGAACACCATGTCGATGAATGCAGTGAACAATTTCCTAGGGAAATTTCGGAGGAAAAAAAATCCGCACGGAAAATTTTGCAACCTGCCCGACGTACGTACACGTACACGTAAATGTACGCGTACTTTACGTGTACGTGGGCGGTTTAGGCGTAAATGACCAACTTAGAATCAGGTAGTTAATCGTCTTCTCCACAGCACGCATATCCACACTCACCCAACGCCTCACCCCACACTCACCATGTTAAGCACTCACCATTCCCACACACCCCATCCCCAACACTCACCATCCCCGAGCCAATCAGGTAGTTGATGGTCTTCTCCACCGCCCGCATATCCACCCGCCCGGTCAGATACAGATACCGATTCAGCAGATCTCCGTGCCGATTCTCCTCCGCCGTCCATTTCCTCGTCCACACCGCCCACGGGCTCGGGCTGGCGCCCGTTTCGTCTTTAGTCCCATCAAGGGTATTGAGCATGGTTTGGTAGGTGGGGAGGGCCTCCTCTGTAATCATATCTCCCACGAGGCACACCAGGTAGTCGTCTGGGAGCGTTGCTGCTCTGGCCTGCAGGTCAGCAAGTTCATCGAGAAAGGAGTCTTGCTCAGGGTGGGGCAGGTAGTCCTGGGGGAGGGGAAGGGGAGGGAAAAGGGGGGGAGAGGTAAAGCATGAGAGGCAGAAGAGAGAGCACGGTTTGAGCATGGTTTGGTAGGTGGGTAGCGCCTCTTCTGTGATCAATCCCCCACGGGGCACACGAGGTAGTCGTCTGGGAGCGTCGCTGCTCTGGCCTGCAGGTCGGCTAGTTCGTCCAGGAAAGATTCTTCCTCAGGGTGGGGGAGGTAGTCCTGTGGGTGGGGTTGGAGGGGGGGGAGAGGTACAGCATCAGAGGCAGACGAGAGAGCATGTGTTGAGCAAGGTTTGGAAGGTGGGAGGGAGGTGGAGGGGAAAATGAATGAGGGTAGGGCCTCTTCTGTGATCAGATCCCCCACGGGGCACACGAGGTAGTCGTCTGGGAGCGTCGCTGCTCCAGCCGGCAGGTCGGCCAACTCGTCCAAGAAGGAGTCTTGCTCGGGATGGGGCAGGTAGTCCTGGGGGGGAAGGGGTAAGGAGATGGGGAAAGGTGGATCAGGGTCACACGAGGTAGTCGTCTGGGAGAGTAGCTGCCCTGGCTTGGAGGTCAGCCAATTCATCGAGAAAGGAGTCTTGCTCGGGATGGGGCAGGTAGTCCTGGGGGGTGAGGGGGTAAGGAGATGGGGAAAGGCGGGTCAGGCTGGCCTCCACAGGCTTGAGCAGTGGAAGAAGCACCTCTTCCGCCCAGCCATCCATGGACTGCACGATCCCCAGTCTCTCCTTCGTGATGGTGTGCTGTGCACCCTTGCGAGCAGCCTTATGCCTCCACCTCACTGCACCTCTCTGCACCTCACCACAGAAGACCCACCTGTGGCTGCCAGCTGGCCTCCACGGGCTTGAGCAGTGGTAGAAGCACCTCTTCCGCCCAGCCATCCATGGACTGCACGATCCCCAGTCGCTCCCCTCATACAGATTCTCCTGACAGGAACTACTTGAATGATCGTGTGCTCTCACCTGCGGCTGCCAGCTGGCCTCCACGGGCTTGAGCAGTGGCAGCAGCGTGTCCTCCGCCCACCCATCCATGCACTGCACGATCGCCAGTCTCTCTATGCTCGTGCATTCACAGCAGCCTAATCGGGGGTTCACCAATGCCAGACTCGCACCTGCGGCTGCCAGCTGGCCTCCACGGGCTTGAGCAGTGGCAGCAGCGTATCCACCGCCCAGCCATCCATGGACTGAACGATCGCCAGGCGCTCCCTGCACCTCAATGAACCTCACTGCACCTTACAGCACCTTAATGCACCTCAATGAACTAGTTGCGCGATTGTGTGTGCTCTCACCATAGCAGCCTCACCTGAGGCTGCCAGCTGCCTTCCACGGGCTTCAGCAGCGGGAGGAGCGTATCCTCCGCCCAGCCATCCATGGACTGAACGATCGCCAGGCGCTCCTTCGTGATGGTGTGCGCGCGCTGCTGTGGCACCACCAGTGTTGGGCCCTTCTTGGCTGCTGAGCCGTTTGCAGGGGAGTCTGACACCCTGTGGCGGGGGAAAAGCACGCATGAAAGGAGGGGGAGAGCTGAGGTAGAGGGGGGCGCAATGTAACCTCCGCCCAGCCGTCCATGGACTGCACGATCGCCAGTCTCTCCTTCGTGATGGTGTGCGCGCGCTGCTGCGGCACCACCAGTGTTGGACCCTTCTTGGCTGCTGAGCCGTTCGCGGAGGAGTCGGACAATCTGGTTGTTTGGGGGAGGGGAGAGCAGCACACATGGAAGGGGGGGGGGGGGGGTGTGATAGTGTGCGCGCGCTGCAGCGGCACCACCAGTGTTGGCCCCCCAGCTTTCTTACCACCGGTCGTGATGTTCGCAGGGGGGCCGAGCACCCCTGAGGCAACGGAATCGCACGCACGGAATGAGAGGGGTTGAGAGGAATAAGTAAGGTACTGAGATGGAAGATACAATACAAGAGACCGTTTGAGGTGGAAGAGTGCGTGTGGGGCCGCCTTCTCACCACCAGCTGTGCTGTTTGCAGGAGGATCGGACACTCTGGGGCGAGGGAAAAGCAGCCCGTGCGGAGGGAGGGGGAGGTGATTAGGGGAAAGCGGGGGAGATGGGTTTGGAAAAGTGCCAGAGAGAGGGGCAGAGGGGGGAAATCAAGGTAGTGAGGCGGAAGGGGTGGTGAGGAGAGCGTGCTGCGTGGAGTCACTCTAGAAAATCCTCCGAAGTGACGTTCTTATAAGGGAGTGGAAGAAAGGTAGTGAGGCGGAAGGGGTGACGTTTGAGTCCAGCTGGTAGTCTCAAAAGCGCCTTCATCATAGGAAGGGGAAAGAAAGGTAGTGAGGCGGAAGGGGTGATGAGAAGAAAGCTGCGCGGGCCCGCCATGAATCTCCGCGGTGACTCTTGCACATGCGCTGCACATGCGCTGCACATGCGCTGGACATGCGCTGCACATGCGCTGCACATGCGCTGCACATGCGCTGAACGGAAGGGGTGGTGAGGAGAACGGGCTGCGCGGGCCCGCCATGAATCTCCGCGGTGACTCTTGAGTCACCTCAAAAGTCACCTGGATCATCAGCAGACGCTCCGTGCTGCACACGCGCTGCACACGCGCTGCAGCGTGGCGTCCAGGAGGCATTTGGTGACGTCTGAAAGATCCGCGGCGTCGCGACGTCTCAGCAACGGAGAGCACAGCGGGCCAGTCACTTTGTGCTGCATATTCTGTGAAGCACCGCGCGGGAGATGACCGGGGAGGAATCGATGACAAGGGAGGCGGGGGGAGAAGGCGGGAGGAAGAGCGAGGAAGCTGAGAAGGAGCGAGGGACTGAGTATGTCCCTTCTGATGACGAGAGAATCGGGTTCGGGCTGTAAGAGCCTGATATGATCTGAATTTCAGGCGTTGAAAGCAAAGCCATCAAGCCATGATGGAGCAAACTCTGAGATGCAGACTCGAAGAGGAGAGCATAAGTCGCCGTGGCGCCTCGAAATAACGTCGTGGAATGAGAAAATTGTTCTCGCTCCCCTCCCTTCCTCCTCCATCCCCCTCCGAGGGGAGATACGACGTCGCCGTACGAGGCGGTTACGGAAATTTAACCCGCAGCGAGAAGGTTACAGCGTTTTCGCGCACCAATGAAACGACGGCGGCAGAGGTTTCGTGCACCCAAGAAACAATGGCGATTGCAAAAAGTGGTGAACTATAGTTAAACGCGGTGGAAAGTGTCAGAAGCGGTGGGAATGTTCAGAAGCAGTAAGTTTTTTCAGAAGCGGCCGGAATTCTCAGAAGCGGTGGAAATTGTCGGAGGCAGTGAAAATTGGTACTAGCGGTGATTTTACTGCGCGTAACGATCGCCTTACTTCGGAGGGATGGTGGCAGCCATGGCCCATCGCGACGCACTCCCCGCAGCGACGCTGTGCGACGTCAACGAAACGGGAGTCGCGGAAATCGCGAGGCGTTTAGCATTCGCCAGAGAATTCGCGGATGTCGCTGAGAGACTCGCGACAGCGGGGCTCGCGGAGAGCGAAAGAGAAGCCATGCTGATGAGACGGACGATCGCGTGAATCAGAGAACAACTTCAAGTTGATGAACGGGAGGCGAGGTGAGGCCCAGAATAAGTCTTCCAGGGAGAAAGCACTATAGTGGACGATGAAGGGCTGGGCTGGGGGATCTCTGACGAGGAGATGAAATGATAAGTTCTGATCTGATGTGGACGAAGCAAGTGTTCTTCGCACGAGTGATGCTTTCTTCCAGAAACGTTACTGGCGGACAGGTAGTGAAGGAATTTGAGCACCACTGGGAAACGACGACGGTTGGAGGCAACGTGAATGTGGCGGGAAAGTCGGCAATAGTAAGCTCCAGAGCTTGTGTGATGACGGAGCATTTTCAGACCCTACTCAACCCCTGTATAAGCTCTCTGAAACATTTTCACGCGCAACGCACCTCCCTGTACCGTAATCAGGTGAACTTCTCTCCTCGGAGACATGCAGACAGGCGAGAAGGAGGCGAAGCATGCGATGGGCACAAAGATTCCATCGCTGATGCAGAACTGATTTAGTTACAATCAGCTGGGCGACCATTTTCGCCTGCATGCGGAGATCGGCGACACGCTAACGAACTTACCGACAAAATTGGTTGCACCTCCATGCAGTTCCGTCTCAGTGGGTGGAGGAGAATTGCACCGAGATTGGGGGAGGAACCGAGTCGTTAGCAAAATCGCGGCTCGTAAGAGATGCCGGTTGCGAAAGAAGTGACTCGAAGTGACGAATATTTACGACATCCTCGTTTTCGGCGATTGGGAATGGCAGACAGCGTTCGCACGACGAGACGCAGCCGTCGTCAACTGGCTGACGGTCGGCAAGCAATACCCGAGGCTGTATGGTCACGACTGCGACGACAAGCCCAAGGTTCTCGCTCGCACAACGTCTAATGATGCCCATGACTGACACGTGTGAGTTGCACTAGCCAAAAACGAGGTGGCGCCAAGGCATATCGCTACAATCATCTCGACTACATTGTCATTCTCTACACGAAGCAAGTAACCACTCCTTCACTTCAAAGCATATATATACTGGATGCCTGCGCCAACACAGATGCTACATTGACTTACCCCCACCATGTTGATACACTAATCCCTTCTAGAGTGTCTGCTCCTATGTTATGCTGCCAGCAACCCACTACCACCACGGCATTCTAAAGGAGGGGCCTCACGTGCGTAACAGCAAACGACATAAACGATCGACCAGGAATATCAAACCGCAAAGGCCTAGCTCCTCTACCATGGTGTATTTCCACAAAGTCCTCAGTGTAAGATGTTCTCCACGAACGCACATCCGTCTTTCCACCAACGTTCCTCCGAAACCACCAAGGCAGGAAAACCTTCACCTTCCTCGGTGTCCCCTTCTGGTTTACCACAAACACACTGACCAATCTCTTCGTTGGGGTGTAGAAAGCAGCAACCCCAAAGTGGCATTCCGGCTTGTTGACAAGCAGCCTTTTGCTACCTGGAGGGGCAAGACTTGTGAAATGCTTCAACATCTGTCTCGGAGTGGTTTGCACGAAGCTATCAACCCCAGCCAGCTTCGTTTTAAGCTGCTTCCTTTCAAGAGCAGCCTGCACCTGCGGTAAAATGCGACTCATTTGCTGTATATTGATGTTGCATCCCTCCTGCCCTCCCCCCTGCCTCCACCACCCCTCCAACGCCTCGTTAAACGACTCTAGAGTATCAAACACCACACCATCCGTCGCGAATTTCTGGACCACGTCGGTGAGATATTCAGCAAAAGCCGTTTCGTATTCCACCTTCAAATTACCCTGCCCGTATGTGGGCGCGCCCGCAACATCCCCCGACACGGTCATCCACCATGGCGGGCTGTTGGCAAAAGCGTCGATCCTATCTGCACCCCGATCCAGGGCAGCGAACAAAACTCTCCGCTGCCTGTCGTCTGCTGTCCAATTATACTCCGCTTGCTCCGTGGCTTTAAAGCCCGGCATGCCCCGCCATATGGTTAGTAACCGAGGGCTGTTAGTAGCATTATAGCCGCCTCCTATGTTGTAGCGAACTATGTTAAGGTTTAGACCCGAGGGGGAGAATAGGAGGTCCATTAGAGGATTGAAGTGCTCGTCTGGGAAGCCTCCCACGAAGTTTCCTAGCCTGTGAGGGCGGGAAAGTGGGTGGGGAAAATCGGATGGGAAGAGGGCGGGTGCAGGGAAAAGGGGGTGAGAAATGGTAATGCATTGTGGGAAAAGGGAGAAATGATGTTACACTGAGAGAGTTTGTATCGGCATTACGTTGACAGTTTTGAAGTGGTGTTACGTTGAGACGACGGTCTCATGCAGATGTTTGTTGGGTAAATAAGGGTGTTGCAGGGAGTGCGGGTGCTGGGAAAAGTGGGGTGTTGGCGGGAGTGTGGGGCTGGGGGAAGTGGGCGGTTGGGGAAGTGGGGGGTTGGGGGCAGTGCTGGGGTTGGGGGAAGTGCGGGGCTGCGGGAAGCTGAGGGTTGGGGAAGTGGGGGTCTGGGGGAAGTGGGGGGCTGGGGGAAGTGGGGGTCTGGGGGAAGTGGGGGTCTGGGGGAAGTGGGGAGCTGGGGGAAGTGGGGGGCTGGGGGAAGTGGGGGTCTGGGGGAAGTGGGGGGCTGGGGGAAGTGGGGGTCTGGGGGAAGTGGGGGTCTGGGGGAAGTGGGGGGCTGGGGGAAGTGGGGGGAAGTGTGGGGGTGGGAAAAGCTAGGCGCGGCTTACCAGCAGAGGGATGTGCCCCATCCGCGCCAGGTGTCCCGCTTACGTGGCTTCAGAGTCACTGACACGGATGCTGGGTGGTGGCGGAGTGTGGGGGGGAAGGCGGGATTGGGGGGAGTGTGGGGGGAGGGCACATTCAGTCTACTTGTTCCAAAAATCAGAGAGACGTGCCCCAGCCCCGCCAGGTGTCTCTCTTACGTGTCTTCAGAGTCACAGACACGGAGGCTGGAGAGGGGGAAGGGTGGGGGGAGGGGGGAGGAGAGAGTAGGACGGAGGGGAAACAGGGACATATGACACTCGGTTTACTATAGCGAGCTCAGATTTGCTGACGCGATGGCTGGGAGAGTGGGGGGAATGGGGAAAGGGGAGTATGGGGGAGGGGGACACTCGGTTTACTTTTTCCGCTGTAGCGAGCTCAGATTCGCTGACGCGGAGCCTGGGAGAGGGGAGAGGGTGGGGGAAGAGGGGAGGGGAGAGGGGGAATAGCAGGGGCAGGGGACGCTCAGTCTACTTGTTCCTCTGTAGGGAACTCAGATTCGCTGACGCGGAGGCTAGGAGCGTGGGGGGGTGGGGGAAGGGTTGGAGAAAGGTGGGGGGGAAGGGGGAAGGGGGGAAAGGCACACTCAGTCTACTTGTTCCGGTGTCGCGAGTTCAATGTCACTGACGCGGAGGCTGGGAGAGAATGTGGGGGAGGAGGATGGGGGAAAGGTGGGGAAGGTGTTGGGGGCGAGGGGGGAAGGGGGGCGGGGGGGAGGGAGGGAGGGGAGGAAGGGCACACTCAGTCTGCTTGTTCCGCTGTCGTGGGTTCAAAGTCACTGACTCGGAGCCTGGGAGAGGGGGGAGGGTGGGGGAAGGGTGGGCGGAAGGGGGGAAAGGTGGGGAAGGGGTGCGTGGAGAGGGGGGGGAAGAAGGGGGGGAGAAGAGCAGGAATAACGCGACACTGTCTGGTTGTTCCGCCGCCAAGCAGAGGCAGGGAGACGCGGAAATAGGGGAGCGTGGGGGGGAGTTGGGGAAGGTTGGGAGAGTAGGTGGGTGGGGGAGGGGGAGTGGTGGGGGGAGGGAGGGGGAAAGCACCGGGAGACCATTGTAAGCGAAGACTGGTGAGCGACAACAAATGAGGCACGACGAGTGGGCGACGACGAATGAGCGGCGACGAATGGACGAAAACGAATGAGCAACGACGAATGAGCGATGGCGCGTGAACGACGACAAACGAGGGGCGACGAAGGGACGAGGATGAGTGAGTGACGACGGGTCGACGGGTAAGCAACGACGGCGAGTGACGACGAGCGCCGCGAGGTCAAGACCCCGCGAGCGCGAGGGCCGAGCGGCGAAAGCAATTCCATGCGAACCGACGAATCTCGGCAGTACAGTTACGAGCGAAAAGGGGAGTCGACAAACGGGTGTTCAGTGCTCAGAGAGTTGCTGTACATTACCTTTTCCGGTGCATATATCGAAGAGCTCAGTAGCGGGAGTCAGGTTGGGCGTGGAATTAGAATCCTCCAGAGGCCGACTCAGCCTAGTGCTGGATGCGACTCGTCGCACGCTGGCGAGCGACGGGGTTTGCGACACATGCGACGCCGCTTGCGACGCGGCTGCTCGCGAAGGATTTTCGCCGCAAGGAATCGGAACTGGGTGCGGCGAAAGCCCTTGGCGAAAACAGATGGGAGGCCCCACGGGATCTCCCGACGTGCCTGAGACGACCGGAAGCGTGATATTAACGGAGTAGTCAATACCGGGAAAATCAGGAATTATGTCGTCGCCGGGAGACGGGGCAGCGGTCGCGGGAGAATTTTCAGGGACTCCAACGGTAGACGCGGCGGAGAAGACGGAGAGCAGGTGTAGAGTAAGATGTAGAGTGTAGGAGGAGGATGAGCGGAGGTTTCTAGGGCCCATAGGTTACTGATCTGGCCAGTTAACGATTATTCCGTCAAGTTGAAAGAAGGCCCATCGCGGAAAAGGGAACTGCAAAAAGCAACTGGAAAGTTGTTGCCTCATTACTTTAGGGTTGCATTTTTCCCGCAAGAAAAAAGTCAAGGTTCAAAATCGTGGGTGCTGTAGTGACTTGCGAAGTAACTTTTCCGTCACTTTACCGACACAAACTGCATAGATTGACGCAACTAACCCGGTATGCAGTAAATCAACCTCAAAGTTGCGGAAAGTCACTTTTGAGCAACCACTACGAAAGTTTTACGAGTACGCCACGTGGCAAACGACGTACTTGAGATGAAACTGAGACATGCTGACGTGGATGTCACTGTACGCTAACGACAACCATCGGATCAGATTCATATCGACGCACGAAAATTTGCCACATTGACCAATCGTAGGCGTGCGATACAGAAATGTTATTGGCTGGCGATTGGAACAGCGACAGTTTCGATTGACGCTTCTTTTATAGGTACACGTTTTTCAGCACAGATTAAAAATTTCCAGTATTGAAGAATTCTCTTACAATGCATGCAAACGTACAATATACCCAACGTACTAGTATTACTACTCATAATGCACAGCTAAGAAGATGTGTGAACTCTGCTTATAAGAATATGGACACAACCTGCAGAAACAGAGGAAAAAAACCTTGTTAAACAAGCATAACAAGACTTCAGTCCTGATAGGTCGCGCATGGCTCACCTGCAGCTGCACCTCCCGGCTCGTTTGGGCGGGTTTGGCATTCGTTCAGCAGCAACTCTTAGCCCTCTCTCTTACGTCTGTGGGTGGTGCCAGGCTGCGAGTGCTGTTGTCAAGCTGGGAGTAGCGGGCGAGGAGCAGATGTTCAGTGAGTTCTTCCGCACTCCGCCGGCTGGGGATTTACTGGACCCTTGGTTTACCAAGGCCCTTGACCAGCTCCCGCCTGTTGTCAGGCAGGAATTGCCGAATTTGGGGCTCTGCACTACAAATCCCCCCCTCCAGCTTTTCCCAGCGCAGCAGCGTCGCTTGGCGGTTGAAAGTCTTCAGTCTCTGCGGCGCATGGCCCGCGATGATGCTACCTTGGCCCGTTTGACTTCCCTTCAGGGCCCGGGTTCGGCAGCATGGGTGTCCGCAGTTCCAGCGCATGATGACGCAACTTTCACCCCTGTGGAGTGGGGCATTTCGGCGGCAATCCGTTTGGGCCTTCCCGTCCACCAGCTTCTGGTTGCTGGCAAGTGTGTTTGCGGTGTGGAGTTCAAGGACCCGTCAGATCCGCACCATGCTCTTCGGTGCAAGTACCAATACGCCCCGTCTCGTGTTCATGATGCAGTGAAGCTCGTTGTTGCTAAGATAGCCAAGGCATCAGGTGGGGTGGTTACGATCGAGGATGACACGCTTCTGCCGGGGAAGAGAGTGGATGTGGCGGTTAGGAAACCAATGGACGGGGAAAAACATGCGCTCGAGGTGAGCGTCGTGGATCCGGTTTCGCTACCGGTGCAGCAGCATGGGCAGTGTGGGCGGACAGTAGGTTTTGCTGCCAAGGAGCGAGAGAAGAGGAAGGCGACGGATTATCAACCTTTTCTGCGGCAACACAGGGGGGTTCGTTTCTTCCCGTTGATTCTTGAGACTTGGGGTTGCTTGGGGGGAAGCTTTCGACAGTGGTTACGGCAGCAGGGGGAGGTTCGAGTAAAGGTGGCTCTTAACAAAGGTGTGGGAAGGGGCAACAGCTCGGGTTTCTCGGAATACTTGGTGGGGTCCTTGACAGCCGCGGTAGGGGTAGCTTTGCAGAAGGCACAGGCTCGGGTGATTCTTTTGCGGGCGGCATACACGTTGGGTCAGTCCGAGGCAGAGTGGGTGGAGCAATGGGGTGGGGAGCAGGAGTTTGGAGAGGGAGCACCATGGGTGGACGTGCCCTACTTGGTCGACATGCGGCTGTAGATGTCTTAGGAAGCAATACTTTGTTTCGGGTTTTGGCGATGGTCTTTTGATGTTTGAGGTAGTAAGACACTTCTAGGAAGGGTTTATGCATGTATGTATGCTTGTTGAAATGTAACGAAGCTGATTAGTGGCGAAAAAAAAAAAAAAAAAAAAAAAAAAAAAAAAAAAAAAAAACTCACCATTAGGGTTAATAATGATGGAGTATGCTCAATGGTGAAAATAAGCTTCTTGCGATTCTGGTTGACGATAGGAATGGGGTAATAGGTACGACATGCAAAATAAGCTTCTCGTGAACGATAAAGCCTGCAAGAAAAGGTGAGCCATGAATTTGGAAACCATGAATGCTGCACAAAATGGCGTACTGTTACGCACCTCGCTAAAATTGCACCATTGGGGTTAGCGGTAAAAGCCTATGCTATACACAAAAAAACACATACTTAGACGTTGCTGTAGAGTGACGGGGGGAAAGTAGGAAGGAATGAATGAATGAGATGCAATTGCGACACCCTTAGTAAGAACGACGAGGGATTTGCAAACGTAAGAACCATGAAATGAACCCGACGAGGAGCTGGAAACATATAACTCATGGCCAACAACTGCATACATTGAAAATAAGAACAATAAATTCTGCAATAAATAGTTTACGCGGGACGTGAGCTGCAGCAACAGAAATGAATCTTAACTTGGCTGAGCGTGACGATGTTTGTTTCCGGATTAAACAACGGTCGTCAGCAGCCCGCTAATCAGCTGCAGCGCAATGGTGATGGCGGCACCCGCCATGAAGTCGACCATCGATACGCATACGACGATTGAGACTATGCCATTTTAGCAACAGCGGCCATCTTCGCCATCGTCGCCAGGCTGGTAGTTGCAGATTTTTTGCCAATACCTGCACGTAGCACGATTGGAGGATGGTGGAGGGAAAAAGAAGAGGTAGGGGAGGGAAGAGGGTTAGAAAAACGAGGACGTCACAGAGAGAGCAGGGTTAAAAAAAATGGCCGCGAAGCATTGCGTTATGTAGAAAAAAAGTCAGCCGCGTCACAAAATACGAGCGCAAGTGACCACCGCGGGAAGAAAGGGGGAAAGCAGTGGAACGTAGTCGCTTTTGGTGAACATCGAACAGAAAACGAACAATGGGGGGAGATATAAGGTTGAATGTGGGTTACGGGAGCAAGACAGGCGAGGAGAAGAGTCAAGGGAGGAGGGTTCTCGCGATGAAGCTGAGGGCTTATTCGGTTGGAGGCCTGGTTTGGTGTGGTTGGGAAGCTGACGTGTACATAACGGCGGGTGCAGATTGATTGAGTATTTACAGGAACAACAACGATTGGTTCAAAATGATTTCTAGGCCCACACGTCACCCCTCTGAAGAAACCTGCTAGCGTCTGTGGGTCGTGGGGGTTCAGATATGAGAACATACGAAAATACTGTATCCAGATTTACAATCTCGCTGGATTTCGTGGTGCTGTCGTGGGGTCGTTTTGTTTCGTTAATTTTGTTGTTACATCCCACTGTCGTTTTCACTCTGTGAAACCGCTTGGAAACTCTCTTGACCGCGCAAAAACGATTGTTGGTCAAATGTTGACGGAAACGCAACTTTGGGGTGACCGTTTTCCGTCGGTGTTCGCTGTCGGAACTGGTGTTCAGAAAGTTGCTTTTTGCGTGCGTTCTTTTTTGTACACTTCGCGCAACTCAGTCGCAGGTTTTCCGTAGAAAAACCTTCGGACCACCAAAGTCGCAGATTCCCTTTTCCGCGGGGCCCTCGAGGATTCCAAGGGCCCCAACGAAATGTTGCTTCGCTCTACGATTACGCCGCAGGTAGCAAATGCTGCTGCACTCCGCGAGTTTGCTGACGATTAGAGATCGTGTCCGTTAACGATGCCCCTCGACAGTCTCGCGAGCCGTCCGTCGCCAATAAGCGAGAGGCTCGCACGATTGCCTTGCACGATTGCTGCTTCACTCAGCAAGTTCGCAGACGATAAGTGATCACATCTAAAAAAAGTGGCTCTTAAAAATGGCAATTTACAGCCATTATCTCCATGCATATGGCGGGTTTGTGGCTATAAATTGGCGGGCTGTACGCAGGTTGCTTCGTAGGCGTTTGGGGCCCGTGAATTGCCCGCCTGTGTATTGACTGGAACAGCCATTCACGGCCTGGCCGTACATGGCCGTGTATTTGAGCACTAAATACGAGCATGTATCTTCTTCCTGTAAATGCAACTGAATAGTAGGAGCATTT